CTCTGGGCATTACTTCAGCAACCTGAGTTCATTCTATTTCGAGTACTGCCGCTCACTAGAGTAACTCCAAAGGTTCCACTTTGCTCTGATTCTGTTTGTGCTGACGTCTGCATCTTGGATGTATTCAGATAATCGGCACTTGTGGCCAGTTCTACTCCACCGAAGTGCTTGTCGCATTTCGTATGAAGGGATACTACATGAATCTCAAGGTCTGGACTTTGTTTTTCAGTATCCGTTCCACATCGTTCGGACGCACCTCGTTTCAGGGCAAGATTCTTGTGCATATAATGGGCACATTAAAGTTGTTTTACGAGTTTCTCAATGAGCCGCTTCAATGGTGTGATGTTCGCTTCGATAATCTGGGACTCTCCGCTGACTATCCGAAGCGGTACGTTGCTCTGTCTTCAGTTTAGTTGTTAAATTGTGAGAAAGCGAGCTTTCCCTGTCAGGTTTGTACTGATGGATGGAGATATGGTATACACCGAGTCACGACTTCGGGCAGCACTCCAAGGGCGCTCTTGTGCTACCGATGCTGACTGCACGATTGGAGACTGCAAAGCGAGGTGTACATCGGATTTGACCTGCTCCGATCGAACCGACTCCAACCTCGAGGTGGGTTGTGGCTTTTTATGGGTGTGGGCATTTCTCCTTCAGCAAGTTTTTATGGTAAACCTGTATGCGTCATGGTTGTGGTGCAGTTATGGCCCATTGAACAGCCTAACGATTCGGGTACAGTGCTTATATAGGGGTGATCGTAATGGGGTACTGAAAAGTTCAGAACAATTAAACACATTCGCAGGATTAAAATTAATCAGACTACAAACCTTAGTGTGACTATTATCAAACGCTCTAGCTATACCGACTAATATTTACACCTATATATTATAAATAAACCGCGGAGGTGATGTAGTGGCAAGGGACGCGCTATCTCACACGAACGGTCGCGGGTTCGAGCCCCTGATCGATGTTCACCTTGGCCAACAAAGCCTTTCATCCCTCCGGGGTCGACTGTTCATACCAGACTCGTTTGGGAGAATAAGAACACCGACTTGTACATCTGCTAGCCACCACAATTCATTGTGTAGGCCACATACGCATTACGCCACTGCCATTCTGAATGAAAGTCGAATGCGGAGGCGCATCCTTCATACGGGATATTATGTAATATAACAACGAAGGCAACTTTAGCCCGGCTAAAGAGTCCCAAAATCATCCTGAAGTTCTCCAGTAGTGGCGTTATCCTGTTGCAAGGCTATGCGTTTTTCACGTATGGTAAGTTTTGCTGGATGTGGAAAGGAATTAGGAGTACAGTAACTGGTCCACTATAGATGCCTGTAGGTAGCTATGAATACCTCAGTACAACACATCTGATATCATGCGTCGCCATAAGGGTGTACTTGTGCATGTGTACCTTCAGTGAAAGTGCCTACCAATTGCCTATTTCAGGTGTTCTGTGAAAAATTGGTCCGGAAACTGTTCGGACACACCTATTCGACGCACAATAAGTATTTAGCTGCTTGTCAGGAAACCAATGGCAACATCACTCAGCGTCTAAACGAATTGCGACTGACATGGTCGTGGAACCTCTCCGACGTTTAATCTCCTCTTCTTGAACGGGTGTTCATTACGCTTTCTTTTCAACGACTTGTTCTATTTATCTGTTGAGATCGAAGAATGCGCCGAAATGGTGGTAATCGTTTCGACCGTTTTTGTCCTTCATTATTATTCCTGCATTCGACTGATGTATCCACATCGCTCAGTGGCTTTTCAGCTGTGTTCTCGTATCGTTTCGGGTGAAACTCTACCACATTTCTTCATTTTACTGTTTATTCTTTCTACTTCAGTCTCATCTGGTTCTGTTTTGTTATGTTTTCAGTCACTCTAATAATTCCGTTACGGGTTCAATTTGCTGATGAAATAATATGCTATTTGATAGAATATTAGATTTCTATGTGTTCCTTTAAAACTCGAAGATTGTATGTAAACAATGTGAACCATCCAGACGGAAATGAATTTTATTTCGAAGTCTATGAACTGGATTAGTTTCTATTTCTAAAATTGTTAGAAAAGAAATCTTTTGTTAGACGAGCCCATACAAAAGTAGACACCCACCAACAAAACGGTGGACATGCTTACAAATTTTGGATGACTTCTCATTACCTTACGATCAAGATCACGAAATTTCATTGGCCAGAAACCTTCGGTCTCGTTCACGTCAATTAGAAATTTTTGTAGGCCATGCTTCAAGACCTAACAATAAGAGGTCAGCCAGATGGGCAGAGGAACGGTTTTGTGTAGTCGAACCACCGCACGCGGTTGTCGCGGACCATTTATCTCGTTAACAGTTCTAGCGTCTCTCGCTGTCGTGCGACAGTTCCGTTCCTACTGAACCACACCAGCCGCAAGGTACTCATTGGCGTGTTTTCATAGTCCGCCAGCCGGCCGGCGGACGATGAGAGCAGCCATTTCGGTAAGTTGCATTAGGCTCCACATCCCATCCGTGATCTATGACTTTACATTCTGGCCTGAGCGTCACGCGTGAGCTTCTTTGTCGTGCGTTAGGAAGTCTATGAGACTTTTTGAGTGAATCTCACGCTTATTGTCGACCACATCAAGGGGTAGTTTAGAAGAGATGTGGTCGTCTTTGAAGTACCACTATTCAGAGGCTTTTGTAGGTTTCTCTTTGCAATCCCACTAGAAAAACAACTTCCAGGAAGTCGCGTTGTGGATTCCGCAGGCAGGGTGAAGCGCGGCATCGAGGAGAATCGCTCACTAGGGCGACGTATTTGACGCTTGTCTCGATATGATTTCCCCTGTCCAAATAGAGAAAAGGTGGAGGAATTCGTTCCGGTGGTATCACCTACAACTCGACGTCATCTCCATAAAAGAGGGCTGAACAATTTCTCTCATAACGTTTTATCGACGTCACGTCGTGAAACGAAAGGGCATAATTCGGTCAGAAGATACACCAATGTAAACGAACTCCTCGGAAGTTCCGTTAGACGCTGTTTGTCAAGTTATCTGTTTTTTTTTTGCAGTATTGTATGGACCTGAGGAGTAGCATCCCTGCAAAAGAACACTGTGTGGAGAACTCTGGAACGAAAGCAACTTCCGATAGTTGTGCATCTCTGTCAGATAACGTAGTTCGATGAAATTCATACAATACCAAAAAAGGACCGTCACGGTTTTTAACAGAAAGCGACCTACTGAAATTCGAAATGAGGCGAATAGGTATGGCATTTTTATTCAAAGGTACCGATTGCCTGAGTCTTCATGGTTCATCATTTTACAAGTGACGCAATCCCTATGTAGTAGGGTGTGCGATCACCAAGGACAGCAACACATACACAGCAACGCGATCCCACATTTTCAACGAGGTTGGTAGTGAGTTCCTATGGTAGGTCATTCTACCATGAAAACTCATTCAAAACTCTACATTCCTCTACCAGCGCATTTGACAAATGGTGGATGGTCATTGGTGCATTTAGACGTGGTGCAATGCATCTTCCGTGTGGATTGCTCAAGTGCTCGATTTGGTTTGGGTCAGGGAAACGGTCAGGCCACTCTATTTGCTAGACCACTCGCGCTCGTCAGCCATAAAAATGAGCTATTCGGATCGCCCGGCTGACGCTAGGTCCTCCTCCTTCGTGTGCTGGAGTTGACCTGCCGCCTGCATTCTTCCAAATTTAAAAGCTTTGCTCCAAAAGAAAAGGAGCAATTGATTTCCAATGAAACACACACACACCTACACACTTTGTGTGCGCCCCGGCCGGCATAGGCAAATTCCTGTTCAAGTCCTGTGGGTTCAGAAAACATGATTCGTTTCTCTCTTATTGCATTTTAGTGCGGGTTTCCACCCATTTTACGCTTGATGCATGGTCCGCTTCCTCCATAACCCCTACGTTCTCACGAGTCACGTGGGATCCAGTCCCGCTACTTTCTACTACCTACCATCGGCGTCCTAATTCTGCAGCGTCCACGTGTTAAATTTGAACGCTTTAAGTCCAAATTAGTAGTTTTCTCGTACGCCCCTTGGGGGCGGGGTCAATTCGTGCCACCACCTATTAGCATCCCATGCCACGACTTACACTCCTGTCTGATTTGAACCCCCTAGGTTCGAATTAACAATTTTTAGGCATGCACCCTCCCCCTTGTGAGCGGAGTCGGGTTCTTTCACTTGTTATCACCTAATCTGAACTCTCTATCTCCAAGTAAACAGTAGTTGTGAATTTCAGGTCAAACACACATTTCGTGCAGGCCGGTATTTGGCCGTGCCAATGCCCATCAGGATTCCCATACTGTAGCCTGTATCCCTATCAAGTTTGAACGCTCTCGCTCCAACTTACATTTTTAGCTCACGCTCCGCCCACCGTGAGCTATGTCTTGTTCTGCCACTAACCATAGGTGTTTTCGTCCTACCGCCTGGACTTGAAAAACTGAAACACACTTAGCGGATTACATAAGTAGGATTTGGGGCTAATTGTGGCTCTTAAAAGACGCACTTAAGGAAGGGTACCTCGTCAGTGACGCTAATGGTAAAGGGCCCGCGCTTGAAAATCTGGAAGTCGGAATGGTAATGCAAGTGATGCCTCCATACCAGAATACATCGACTACCAGAACGATCAAATTCGACAATATTTCTGAGAGAGTTGCGAGTTCCCATGTTTCACCATGATCACTTCTCAGACTGGATATGCTTTCATCCAAAATTATTACGCCTAGCCATTCCTTGTTGGTCCATTCGCTATGCCCTTGGCACCATCATATAGGTCTCGCTAATGCGTTTAAAGGTGACGGGTTCAGGTACAAGGGAATACAACGTTGTCGAACGAAGAGACCGGCACGCGAAGTTGATGTCAAAGTTGTGTGTGACATGGCTTGCCTTGATGTGCTGTTAAATGCCGCTACGATTGCATAAGTTGATATACGTAAGATTTCTGCCTGCTCCACAATGTAGCGGTCATCCCTTGACGTAGTAAACTTGTTCGACCTCCTTCTCTGCATCGGACAGCACTATCAGAGATTTGGAACGCTCTCCATGCACACGAAACAACGATGTAAGCGATATCGAGCTGCTGGGCTTCACTCACCATGACGCGACCTTCTTTGACGTTCATCATGACTGTTTGTCGTGTGAATTTCCAAATACTGTCTGCAGAACATACTTTGATATACGTAAACTGTATCACCATTGAAGAACATTGCAACATTGAAGAATATCAACACTGTGCTTTGTAGCTACTTGATGATTGACAAAGACTTTCCAAACCTGACTTGACTGCCTCGATTCGCACGAACAGCCTATTTCGCGCCTTATTTAGGCTTTTCTTTCCGAAGTCCAGCTTCCTTTGCATAACTGAAGAAGAGTTTGATCCGCAGCTCGTATCAGCTTCAAAAAGACGATTTGTGTGACAAGCGGTCGCGCATTGTTTTGCAAAAGGCGATATAATAGTGTTGGCTGCATTTGCTCTAGTTTCGTGTACTCTTGCGAATTTGATCACAGTAGGACTACGCGGTAATGGTTTGATCGGACGAAGGAACGAGTAGTGGGTTATTCCATGGCTAGACCACCGAACCAGATCATTGTCTTCTTCGTGTAAAATCGGCTTGGGAAAAATTTTGGAGGCTCGTTTACAGCTGCCCACCGATCGAAAGTTTTCTGTTATCATACACGATCTAATTTTCATCATACGTTACAATACGATGGGGGAATGGCTCAATATCATTATTTCTCAGCAAAGAACTTGAAATTCCCAGGCGCCTCAACTGCTGCTACTCCGTGAATGGTCATTCACTCGCTTGCCAAGTTTCTTCACCACTTCGAGTTGCTTAAGGTTGTCAGCGACAACTTTATGGGAAAGGCTTATATGCTTGGCAGTCCCTCTCAAAGTTTGACGTCGACCTTGTTCGAGTGTTCTTAGCAAAGAATTGTGACCAAATAGCGACGGTCGACCAACTTGCCTTTTCCTTCCAGCTAATTGTCTCCATTGCTAAACTTTTGAAACCAGTGGCGAACCGTTCGTTCCGATTCAGTACCTTCTCCCCATGCAAAGTTGATGTTTGTGGCTGCCTACTTCGCAGTTCGACCAAGCTTGTACTCATTAGGTCGAGCCGTTCAAAAAGCTCTCTTCTCCATTCTGAAAAAAAGAACTATAAAGGTTACAAAAATCCTACGGAAAAATTGCCGGGAAAAGTGCTCTGGAAGGAAGGCGCGTGCCCTTTCGGGAATTATGCATTGAACTTCAGCAGCGAACCCTTCTAATTCAGCATATGGTGACTGTGTATAGACAGCCAAAGAAAAATGTGAATTTCATAAAACTGCAGGGGTTTTTTGCATAATTCCTTTATTACTTACATATCTCGTTTTTACATAGCCAGGCCAGACTAATACAACGGTCCCGTGTTCTGGAGTTCGACAGATCGTATTGTCGCCTAGGCGGATATTACTCCAGAACAGCTCGAAAAGCTGATTTTTTTATTCATTTTTCTATTAGTTAATTCACTACTCTTACTCTGCAGCTTATATTTCTTTTATCTAGTATCGTCACATTGGAGGTGCTTAAACTCTTAGTGACGTGCAGCACGTAAGAGGTGGCTATCGAGTATGAGTAACTGTTAGAGGGAGCTCTCGAGGCCAGAGTATAGATGGCCATATTGTTCGAATACCTATTATGGTAGTTGATAACGGGTTACAGAGGGTGACCGTAACGCAGCCAGAGGACGGTCGTACTGTGCTCGACTTCATCGTAACGAGTCTAGTCCTCAGCCGTGCCTCACCTTCGCATCATCCGCCGGTTGGTCTAAATGTGTAACAGTAACAAGACGATCTGCCGGAAGTGCTATGCACTTAGGGCACTTTGTGCTCTCGAATGCAGAACAAGGAACTGACATCACTTGAACGACCTTCGGTTCAACAATAGGCTGAGGTTTATCGTATGAGTACCCATATTCACCATTCGCCGCTGTGGTTCTCACCATTGTATGACCCAAGAGAGAGGGTGAACTAATTGGAAGTGATTTAGGTTTTGCAGACTGTTAAAATTATCCGCGTTACCTTCAACATCCCGAAGCAACATGTCGCGAACAACTAACTTAACTCCCTATCATCTTCTAAGTAGTTGTAGGCGTCTAACACAAATATCCGACCGCCCCCTTCCGAAAAGTACAGATTGATTTGATGCGATTCGCAGACGTCACTTTCATTTCTTATCTTTCTTGTGGAGGCAATGCTAAGCACACTACCCCTAGACTCCATTGTTGAATTAATTGAGTTCCCTCTAACCTGACTGTTCAAGCTTAATTCGATTTCAGCAAGATAGCAGGTTGTTTGATCACTAGCTGGGCGCATGGGTGTTGAAAGAAATTGAGAAGTGATAAGAAGTGAAGGAACAGCTGTTTACCCAATTACAGCCCTGATGGTAACGATTCAAATGCAATACAAACAGGCGAAAAAGAAGGTAGCAAACGTTCTTGCCGTTTCCTTTTCTCCCTGAAACCGTGGACATCGGAGCACACAGAGTTTACACTAACAGGTATCGGAAAATCATTTCGACTGTCGTGAGTTTTCGTCGATTGCTCACAGATAACCCCTCTTTAGCGAGCTTGACCATTTATACGTTATTGCCACAGAAATTCTACCAAATCAGGATGCAATACTATTTGAGGAGACCAAAATTCTGAACTTCTGTTTGTCGCATATTTATTGAGGTTATAGACTCTGTTGCCAGAAACATTTCGTAGGCAACAGAGCGCCCATCTAATCATGTAACTTGTGAAAAATAGGTCATACCCAACCAAGAAAATCTCAACCCTATTGAACCAAAAAAGGCGAGAAAAATTGGATGCAATGTTGGATCAGTACTTGTGGGGCCGTGTGAAGCGTCCCCAATACTTCCTTGCAACAACCATTTTTTACGGTTTCATCATTGCGATAACTTATGAGTGACGGATGAAAGCCCGATCCTCACTTCAGATGTGGTAAATGGAAGAATCGATCACGTCGTCTGAGAGCAGTATCCAGCAACTATGTATTGTCGTACTTTTTGAGCTATCGCCGACCTTTTCCTATAGCATTAGATTTACCTGGCTACCTGGAGCATAAGAAGCCTCTTGTATTGTGCTGCTCTCATCTTTTGACATTCCCTTTCATAGCCATTTATTTGCAGCAATAGTTTCCTTATTTTGTTTATTTGTAAAATAGGTTCCTCCGTTACTCAAGTGCTGATCCCTAGGTTTCATTCAAGGCATTTGGGAGGTGTTCGACTTTTGGCAGCTTCCCAATGTCAGTCTCCTCATTTTCGAAGCGTCGCCAGCTGATCTGAAAGTTTTTGTTTCGCGTTGAAAGGCGTTATCTGAACCTCTGCGCGCTAATATGGACTTGATGGCATTGAGCGTCCGTGCATATGCTGTGGCATCTCGTGACCCACATTATAACGTGAAAGGATTATTTTGTGAATTCTTTCCAAGTCGTAGAAGTGTTGGTGCAGAATAGCCTAGGGGATGAGTGCGAAAATTCTCAGATTTAGCGAGAAAAAAGTGATTTCCTTAAACAAATCACTTTAGTGGATTGTGCGAGACTAAAATGACGAAAGGCTATTCCGTCGAGATTTCATTTTGTGTAATTGTGTGATGAGTTAGCTACATTTGCTTTCACTATTGCCATGGGTCACGAGGGGCTGCATTCATAGTGCCGCCTTCAAGTGTGTCATCGGCGCCGGTGTAGCTACTATGAATGCGATCACTCACGATCCGTACAATCGACTCCTTATGATCTGATTCAGACTTGTACCACTCGAAACATATCTGATTGCACTACAAAATGGCCCTTAGTTCCGAGAATAATGATGGTTTAGAATGAGCTTCAGGCTTGAAAAGTGAGGAGTTGGATGTCAACTTTCGATGCACCGTTTACTTATTGTAGCCATGCCATTACTGAACATGTGGTTGTCGGGTTGTCCAGCCTTGTTGTCTCTTAATTTTGTTCAAAAAACTGCTTTCTCTATCAATATTTGAAGGTTATCTGTGAGGTCATTGCAACAGCTGAGAAGCTTTCTACCACCCAGGCATCACAAAACTTATAGAACCTTGGGAAGAACTGTTTTCTTGTACTGTTCAGTAAAATAACTTGCGTATGACGGCCTCTTCATATTGTTGACTAAACAAGCAAACAAGTGGACCCGGAATTCAGCTTGAATCACATTCCAGATGAAATCAAAATATAATTTTGTCTGAGTGCACAGTAAGGCTTTGCTTAAGAATACCAACCGAGCTAGTGTTGGAATGTAGAAGTTACGTAGAAAAATCAGGCCGTGAAAGGCTTTGTGGTTATTAACTGTCACGAAAAANCCAATTCAAGAAAAAAAAATGGAGTGTGGTAGAAAACCTAACAGTGAAATGTTCAGAAGAGGTACTGACTAATAAGCTCACGTGGCAAGTCAAGGGCCCATCACCCGCTGTTTCTTGTAATGAAAATTAAACATTGAGTTAGTGCAAGGTTCGACCTAATTTCTTCGATTTGATCTCTTACTTGCAAGCTTGAAATCAATTAAGTTGATTAACTTACTTGAGCAAAGTAATAGTTTTGTAGAGCGATTGATTGAATTTGATTAGTTTCCGGTATAATCTTAAATCATAATAAATCGAATAAAATTTTTTGTCTCAAAAAAAAAATATTCCTTATTCGGCGTAAACCAGTCAGAGATGACTGACATCTTCTACTTTGATGGTTCTCTCCCACCCAGCGCATGCAGTCGTCCGAAATTAAACTGAGGCTCCAAGCTTCAGGGAAAAAAGTAACACCTCATGCTAGAAACCTGAAACCTTTCATGACCGATTCAAGCTATGTATGCCGATTTGATTTTTCTCGCCTCAACATTTTTCAATCGCAATTGTAGCGCTGCAAGTCAAGCAGTTTCTGAACCTTTCGTTATCGCCGACTTGGTCATTAAATTGATTACCTGGATGACTTCAGTTTCACACGGCTACACATCGCCATGCTACGCGACCAAGCTGATCATCCATCTCCGCCGGAAATGAGGTTAGTCGCTTTATTGGCTACTAAAGTAAGTTAGAGTCATAATAAAACATCGCTTTGAAGTTCATACTACACGTATCGCTGGCATTTATTCAGATTTCTTCTTTTTTTACTTGAATTTCAATCATTGGGTACTATTATCATAGTAATTCTCCCCAGAAGACCATTCATGAGTATTAACATCGAGGGTTTTTGGAATGTCACTGTTGGAAAAGAGCCGGTATTTCTTATATTTGGAGCTAAATGAGTGTGTGCTTCATTTAAATCTCTGATTGAATTTTGTTGAATATGAATACGTAAAATCAATTTGAGAGCTAGAAGTATCAACTAGTAATGAGAAGCGGTCAATCAATCGAAAAAAATGCAAAAAAAATGACTACAGTTCAAAAAAGGATCCGAAAAGTGACTAGTATTAGAGGCTAGATCTGAGTCTGGTGATATCCTTGTATGTGCTATACTTAGCTGGAAGAAAAAGAAAGCGAAAATCTGTCAAAACGTGGGCCATAGTACAATTAGCTAGATCCCTGCATTAAAGGTTCGGTGCACAATAAAAATTGTTACCGAGATTTGCTGTTGGATCAATTCTGCTCGAAGGATGCGCCTCGCATTCGGCTTCCATTCAGAATCGTAGTGGCGTGATGAATGCTTATGTGGCCTTTGCCATCAACTTGCGGTGGTCAGCCTATGAACAATTCGATGCTTTCATCCTCCCACCCGAGTCTTACCGACCCCGGAGGGATGGAAGGCTTGATTGACCTACGCAAAACCGTTTCAACCTATAAAAGGAACAGTTCGCGATAATTTTGGTACCAATTTTAGGTCAAAAAGTGAAAGTATTGGTTGAGGGTAAAGCATCGGTGGCAAAGAAAGCAAGAAAATCGACCGACTTGGTGAGGAAGGAGGCACTCTAAAAGTAGTGAAAATAGAAGTTGTACGAGATTACCATGAAGGAAATATCATGGAAGAGGTATTCGGACAAGTTTTCAACTGTTGCAATTACGCCACGGGTCAAGACCAAATTTTCAAACTCCTTATATGGGTTCCCTCACCTATGGAGCGTATTCCTCACCTCAATTGTCCATTTTCAAAAAAAGCTGAAGGCGGTACGAATGAACGAGAATGGCGTAGCCTCTACAACGCCGTTGGAACTCGTCCGCTGTGGTTGTGGGATTCGCACGATACAATGTCTGGCCCTTTATTGCGCTCTATCTAGAACGTTTCTCGATGTGATATCGGCTCATATGGTATCAGTGGAGGCCCCAAATTCATCCGAACTGTTACTTCAAAATGAAGACTTAATTAGCCCAATCAACAGTCGTAGTTGTTTGAACATGAGCTCTTTCTTTTTGACATAAAATCGACACTCTAGCGATGAGCGATCCATAGATGAGAAAGTAACTCGAGGTACGAGAGAGCAGTAGCAACCGTCAGCAACAGTGACAAGACTAGTCCGTCATGCATTTGCATTGATTCCATCGAATCGCAATGCTCCCGCATTTTTGTATGTTCCGATTTTGAAATGCTTTCAAGCTTTGCTTTCGAGCTTTCAGTTCCTTATCATATTTACTATGTTCTTCAGGTCGTTCAACGACGACTTGGCTCCGGAAAGCCACTCACCCGATGAGGAGGCTCCTCTACTTGCGCCGAAAAATCGCAAAATTCCAGCTGCAGCGCTGGGCAATTCAATCATGATCCTGCTCATTATCGGCCTACTCATTTCGACCATCACCTTCGCTACACTCTACTATCGACTTCTGGGAAAGGTAATGCGCTCTTATGGCTCTTTTTACGGATGGCCACCTCTCTCCTAGGATTCGGCTAGGCTCCCAAAATGGCCGAAACCATCGATCAGCCCTCTGGGCAAGTATTCACGGGCGGCAGTTGCGGCTGATAATGAGTACTGTTCTGAAACCGGAAGGTTAGTTTTCGGACTGGATTAGAAGTTTTTTTTACAACATGCAGAAGGCTATCAATTTTATCTTCGCTCTCTCACTAATGTATTTTTCTCGACTATGCAGGTATACTAAACATTCTCATCCATAGAAAAATGATAGGAGGAGAACATACAATCTAGAGAAACGCGACCCAGATATGCGAATATGTTCCTGAGATGGTTTTCTATCACTAGCAACCCCATCGCGCGCCTCATAACCCCAAGTTCCGAAAAATCTTTGGCTGTTTTTTATCCCTTAATTTACCTGTGGAGCGTACTCCTCACCTCAATTGTTCATTTTAAAGAAGCGAAATAAAGGGGTTCGAAAGAGCTTTTGCTCGTCGATGTCGCACCTCAATAAAAGCTTTGAGGTTATCAAGTCGGTTTTTCAAAACAAAATAACTACAGCAATAAAGTTATGTCGGTAATCAAGATAGTGGCCCTTTTTAGCCACAATGTCTCTTCATCGA